ATGGGCTGACTCATATGTAAAGAGAACTGAGACATTCTAGGGAAGAGGTGGCAACAGCAAAGTAGAAGGAGCCCCAGCCAGGAGTCAGGAGACCTGGTGTTTTGTCTCCACTTCCTGCCTGCTCTCCAGCTTCCTGGGGGGCATGAGGCAACTACATACCTTTGTGAATTTCCTTTCCTTAACAGTAAGTGGAGCAGTTTGATGACTCATTCATTCAAGAAATATTTTTTGAGCACTTGCTGTGTATCACACACCATGTAAGCACCATGTGTATAACTGTGAGCAGCGGAAAGAGGATCATCTGGGAGGAAATCAGGAAAAACCCAGTCACCAAGCACTCGCAATATTGGGAGTTAAGTTCCATGACAGGGAAATGTAAGGACCATGGGAAGGCCAAGGAGCAGAAGCTTCCAAGAGGAGGGGGCGTTTGAGCCGAGATTGGAAGCACAGTAGAGGTTGGCTAGTGAAGGGGAGGTGGGAGAAGGCTCTTTGGAACAGGGGGCAACACTGTTTGACTGGGACACAGTTCAAAGTGGTAGATTACAGAGCTCTGACCCAGCTAGTTCTACCAGAACAGAAGTTCTATTCACTGGTTGGGTAACCTTGAACAACTTTCTTTGTCACACAAAACCTAGTTCTTTAATCTGTAAATGGAACAATAATGGCAGGTACCTCATTGGGATATTGTGTAGATTAAATGAGATGATATGTCAAGCCCTTAGCATAATTTCTGGAAGGTAGTAAGGGCTTGATAAATATTAATTGCTCAATTATCTCTATCAATTTGTTTTCTGAGGCCCAGGGACCCTGTGAGTCATCAGACTTCTTGCCACACCTACCAGTGCACACCCTCCCCAATCACTATGGCCTTCTCTAGGGAGCTGAAGGTCCCCATAATGCCAAATTTCTAAGAAATTTGCCATGGGATTAATTTGTGAGCAGTTACTTGCACTGCCTTAGCTTTTCTCCATTTTTTCTGGGGGTTACTACTTTAGGTTCATTTTCCCCCAATACTTTATCTCATGTTACTGTACCAGGCATTTCCTATGTGGAATCCAGACAAAATATTGGTAGATGTAGCTCTATCCCTATGAATAATATGCCTCCCTATCTCTCATATTTTGGCACAATGACCAATGGATAATAGGAGGAGTGGAAAGCCTTGGGAAAATAATGTACTTTTTGCTGTTTAAAATTACTTTGGTAATAAAATTACATTTCTCCCTGGCACTTAAGGACAGAGTTCTACTTCCAACCCCTATCTTTTCCCCCAGTTTGTATCTTACTCTTAGGAGGTTTGAAAGCTTAATCTAGATTTAAATGTGTCTCTCTATTTCTTCAGTTATAGCAGAAGTAACCTCTAAGATCCTCCTATCAGACAAATGCAGCACTCTAAAAATCTACTTTATTCTGTAGAGACCGCTTCCTATACATTTGCAGAAAATTTGGCACAGGTTTTCACCGAGTATGTTTATTTGAAGGAACTGCAAACCTGCTGTAAGTTTGGGCAGAGTTGAGAATCTAATCGTATTCAAAACCTAAGGACCCGCAAAGACGACATATTCAACTCGTTTCGTATTTCCCAGCCCTCCCTCCCTGCCGTACCCACCAGGCTCTGACCTTGAATAGTTCTCACTTTACTGCCGATCCATGATTCAGCAGCCGCAGATCTATGGAATGCTGCAAGAGCCAAAGGGATCTCCAATTGCTCCTGCTTTTCATCAGCGACTTGAGGCACATTTGTTCAGAATGGTGCTCCCTGCTTCATTAATGCAGATCTGAAGGAAGCGGGAATGGCAACAGGCTGACTTATCTGAGGCCATGTGCTTCAGCCCAGAATTTAGAAGGACGTGGGATTTCTTTAAACATGGAGTGCCTGGTTTTGATACAATCCCCACTTTCTCTTCCACCCACACCACTGCCTTCTAAACGACTTTGGTGAAGACAAATCTATTAATCCTTCAACAATGAGGAAGGAAAGCAATGGAAAACCTGGCAAAGTGAATTGTGTATGAGTCAGTGCTTGGACCATTGCAAGGGAAAGACATGCAGAAACACACACACACACACACACACACTTTCAACAAAGGAGATCATTGATTGAGCTCTGCAAGGAAGTCTTTCGTCTGTATTTTTCTTTTCTGATGATGTCAGAGTTATTGAAATAAATAAATAAATAACATTGAGCAAGGAATCATCACCACCGATGGCGGCATTAAAGCTCTTGTAACTGTGCGTGGAAG